CCCCCCCTTTTTTTGCATTCTTCTTCACTTCCGATGCTAGGAGGCCATTAGCAGCAACCTAGATGGCTGCTTGAAAGCTTTTAAGATCCCAGTTGCTACTCGCCAATGTAGGATGTGGAGCAACACTTTTATGAATTTTGTTGTGCCAATTGAGTCTGGTGTCCCTCAGTACTATGGTCCTGAGTCAGTAGATCTGTTGGATCTCTCTCCCATAGTGTCTGGTTGTCTGTGAGGGATTACTCTGTATCTGTTTTCTATTGTTTCTATAAGGACTGGAGGTATTTTGTATCACTGGTGTCTGTGCAAGATTAGCCTCAGCTGAATCTATCCTTGGTCTAGAGTATACTTCTGTTAACTGACCCCATCTGATCATCTCAGGTGTTTATGTGTTTATCTATATAGTCTAGTGTTTGGTGTTAATGGCAATGCGGTATTGTGGACACACTGGTTGGTATTAGCATCTGTCATCTATCTTGTATGTGTACAATTTAGTGTCCTCCCATTTCCTAATGTTATCATGGTGGTCATATATCCTTCCCGTATATCCCTCCCCCTACCCATGTCAGCATGTAGGCCCCAACTAGCCTGAAATTAATCCTTCCTCTTCCTTCCCCCCCCATCCCGGTAACATACTAGGTGAGTTCCCTTTCCCAAACAAACCCTTCTCTGTCTTTTTAAAGTAATGGGCTTATACAGTACTTGTTCTTCTGCAATTGACTTATTTCACTCAGCATAATGTCCTCCAGGTTCATCCACATTGCGAGATGATTAGCGTATCCCTCATTGTTCTTTAATGTGGCATAGTATTCCATTGTGTGGATATACCATAATTCGGTTATCCACTCATCTGTTGACGGGCATTTAGGTTGTTTCCATCTCTTTGCTATGGTGAATTGTGCTGCGATGAACGTAGGTGCACGTATGTCTGTTCTTGTGCTCTCTCACCTCTTTAGGGTATATTCCTAGAAATGGAATTGCTGGGTCAAATGGTACTTCTATTTTCAGTGTTTTAGGGAAATGCCATACTGTTTACCACAATGACTGTACCATTTTATAGTCCCACCATAAGTGTACAAGCGTTCCAATCTCTCCACAACCTCGCCAGCATTTGTTACTTTCTGACCTGTTGAACTTTGCTATTATTGCTGGGGTGAGATGATATCTCATTGTTGTTTTGATTTGCATCTCTCTAGGAGCTCTGGTAGCATAGTGCCTAAGGCACTTGCTAACCAGAAGCCTGGCAGTTCAAACTCACCAGCCACTCCTTGGAAGGAAGGTTGGGCAAGCTACTTCCATAGTGATACCGTCTGGGAAACCCAAGGAGGGGTTGCTATGAGTTGGGTCTGACTCGAGGGCACATAATAACAACAAACAACAACAAATGATTAATGATTGTGAGCAATTTCTCATGTGTTTGTTGGCTGCCTGTATCTCTTCTTTAGTGAAGTGTCTGTTCAAGTCTTTTGCCCATTTGTGAATTGGGTTATCTGTCTTTTTGGTGTTGAGGTGTTGAAGTTTTCTGTAGATTTTGGAGATAAGTCCTTTATCAGATATGTTATAGGCAAATATTTTCTCCCAATCTGTAGGTTCTCTTTTTACCCTCTTGATGAAATCTTTCGATGTGCACAAGAATTTAATTTTTAAGAGGTCCCAGTCATCTAGCTTCTCTTCTATCTTCTGCACATTCTGGATTATGCTTGACGGTCTATTTTTGCCATAAATTAGGGCTCCCAGATTTGCCCCTATTTTATCTTTGATGTATTTTATAGTTTTGGGTTTTACATTTAAGTCTTTGATCCAGCTTGAGTTTGTTTTTGTGTATGGGGTGAGGTATGGGTCTTGTTTCATTTTTCTACAGGTGGATATCCAGTTTTGCTAGCACCATTTGTTAAAGAGGCTATCTCTTCCCCAAGTAATGGGTTTTGAACCTTTGTCAAAGATCAGTTTTCCATAGATGGATGGGTCTATAGCTGGACTTTTGATTCTGTTCCATTGGTCTATCTGTCTGTCATTGTATCAATACCATGCTGTTTTGACAGCAGTTGTAATTCTGTATCTCTGTCAATTGGTTTTTCTTTTCTTTGTTGAAGAGGGTCTATGTTGCTTGTCTGCCTGTTCCTCCATCTTACCTGTATTTCATTTCTTAAAAATTATTGCGTTGCATGTTCAAATCTACAACCCACCTGTGGTGGTTATGTTTTTGTGGCAACTTGGCTAGGCCTGGTTGAGGTCTGGGCAGCTGGATGTAGTATTCCCTATGATAAGACTGGTAATCAACTCCATGGTGGAATCTACTGTGAGCAGCTGAGTAGCTGCCTTTGGATATGTGGTCTGCTTCCCATATATAAGCAGCAGCTTTGGAAATGTTTTCTAGCATATGGCATGCTTGGACCCTGTGTGTAGCTGTGTCATTGTTCAGCAGCCTGCCATGCTCTGCCAACCTTTGGACTTAAGTGGAATTAAGTTAATGGTTTGCCATGTGGTTTGGTAACATCAGGACTGTGCCTTTTTACTTGTCAACCTTGGGCTTCTCAGCCTCAGTAGCCAGCAGCTGTCTGAGTGAAGAAATGCCTCTAGCTCTGGTGGGCCAGGAGCAGGAGGCAGAGTTGGACCTCAAGGTTGAGGGGCTTTCACTCAGTCCCTAGAGCCTGGCACTTTGGACTTGGACTTAAAGCCTCCATACTGTAAGAGAATAAACTCCTGTTTGTTATGGCCAGCCCATTTGTGGTATATTCCTGTCAGAGCAGCACCAGGTAACCAGAACACCATCCACTGCTGTTGATTGATTCTGGCTAATAGTGACCCTACAAGACAGAGTAGAACTGTGGAATTTCCAAGGCTGTAAATCTCTACAGAAGCAGACTGCCTCAACTGGTGGGTTCAAACCATTCTCCTTTTGGTGAGCACTTTAACAACTGTGGCCCCAAGCTTCTAGTGAAAGCTATCAGGGATAAAAACATTCACCTTCTCTACCCAGGTAAATCTATTGGTTTAAAAAGTTTTTTCCTTTGCCATTCACTCCCCAACTTTTTTTTGGACAACTAGCTGTGTACTAAGTAGGCAGAAAAGGTGGTAATATTACTGAAGATGCCCAACAAAGCAAAAGATGTTAAAATCTTTGTTGCCAAAGGTTGAAAAACAAATAAAAATAAAAATGGAAAGTTCAAAGAGTTGCAGAACAAAAGCTGCCATTTAATCACTTTTTTTAAGTCACATATAAGGGGGATGGATATATCTCCCATATAGAAATACGTATTTGTATGGTAGGAAGCCAAATACATGACATAGCTATTAAAATACCCATGTGATTTTGTTGGTATAAAGTATCAATTAATAATCTGAGTCAAATTAAATTTGGAGGAATCTTATAAATTGTTGGTTGTTCTCTTTTCCATAATACTTTAGACTTTCTATATGGTGTACTATATCTGGAATTTCTTTTGTAGGAATCCAAACGCCGTATGAATTATTTTTTAGATGTTTTTCTATTTCCTCAAGAAGACTTAACTTTAAATGCAACTGTCCTACTGTGGCCTGGGAAAATTAATCCTATCTTTGATGAAAATGATGAGGTAGATTTATTTTATGTATTCTTAGATTTTGATGTTTTTGAACACAGTGTTCACATTTAATTTTCCTACATACTTCCCATCCACCTTTATAAAGTAACTTCATGAGAAGGTTGTGGCTTAGGACAGGCAGTTCGGTCCCAACCTACAGAATCTACTTAGTAGTGAGGCTGACATTAGAGAAGTGAGAACTATTATGTAAATTAATAAAATAACAGTAAATACTGTGCTAAGTGCCTTCCATTTATTAAATCATTTTATACTTACAACAATCCCAGGTGCTCGTATTTTCTTCAATTTATAGATGAGGAAAATGAGACCCAGAAGTTAAATAACTTGCTCTATATCACAGAGATAAGAAGTAGCAGGTTCAGGATTTTGTAACAGACTGAATATAGTTCAGAGTTTGAAAAAGTCCTAACGTTAATCAGTTTATCCTAAATTGAGCAGGGTTGAGCAGGTAATGAAAAAGATGGACTCCAGTCAGATAACCTGGATTCTAATCCATATTTCAACTTTTACTATTTTGTGGCCTTGGACTTGCTTCCTGACCTTTATAAGCCTCAATTTCTTCATCTCTAACATTAGAACAATATTAATACATATGATAATGAGCTTAGGTATTTAATAGTTCTTAACACTTAATATGTGGTCAATAAATGGTAGCTTTAGTTATTTTCTCAGAATCTGTTAAATAATTAAAATTTCTAATTAATAAATAAAGAGTTGTGAAAGTCACTTTGGAGACCTAGGAAAATTTTCCTGAGTGTTTTATTATTCATTGTATTTTTATATCAGTCATTATATACAGTGTTTTATTTTTGTAACCATTGTTATTTCTCTGATGGTTTTTGTACAAAGCATTCAGATTTCTGTTTGATAACTCTTTCTGTGTAACAAAATAATAAGCATGACTAAATTGTCTTTTAAAAAGCTCATTGAGACGGCTAAACATAAAAGAGAAAATGAACTAATAGCCAAGAGAGAGAAACTGATTTTGGAAATAGAAAAGGAATCACGTCACATGGAAGAATTTACAGAATTTGCAGAGCTGGAACGCATGCACCAGGTCTGATAGATACATAAGGCAGTAGCAATGGCAAGCCCTAGATTTAATACAGATATATTTACATAATTAAAGAGTAACATATCTTACTATGGCTGACAGGGGCCTGACTCTTCAGCCTGGCATTAGTACTATCTATGTGATCTTTTTCATAACTTGGTTTTCTGTTTGTTATGTAGACACATCTATTCCTTTTATTCTTTATGTTGCAGTAATGTTGTGAAGTTAATATTTAAGATTGCTATATAAATTCAAGGACATATCATGTGCAGTATAATATAATCTTATTTTTATAACATTACTTGAATATTTCTTGAGATAAAAAACTATTTGCTTTCAGTATGTGGCAGATGTAAGACAACTGCAAAAACGTATTCAGGAATCTGAGGAAGCAGTTCAGTTTATTAATAAAGAAGAAGAACTTTTCAAATGGGAATTAACCAAATATCCTGAACTGGATAAGTTGAAAGTTAACATTGAGCCATATCAGAAGTTTTTTAATTTTGTTTTGAAGTGGCAACGAACTGAAAAACGGTAATTTAAATTTCTGATGATGTAATAAAAATTAAGCAAATGATATGAAAGGATTATAAATTGATTTTATTTTCTTGAGTGCGTAAAATAGGACTTAATTCACCCGTTTTAAAGTGAGTCAAGTATCATATGGAAGACACATCAAATACTATTAAAGTACCGTAACCTAACTTTACTAATATCTGGAGTGTCATTTGGGCTTTCTAGAATCAATTCACTTTTTCATGAGTTAATTAATTTATTTGAGTAATATTTACCCCCAAAATTAGAAATATGGAGTCAAATTTGCATTTTATTTGGATACCTTTAGTCAGTCTCCTTTTTACAAATATGATACATGTTTAGCACATGCACTGCAGCTGATGTGATGGTTTTAGTTCAGTCTCTGTAACATCAGCTTTATCTCTTTGACTTTGAGAAAGACCGTTAAGTGCTTTTCCCTCCGTCTCTGAGGTCAGTGCTACTTTTAAAACTTTCATTTCAGGTGGATGGATGGAGGTTTTTTGGATCTCAATGGGGAAGGCATGGAAGCTGATGTAGATGAATTTTCCCGAGAAATTTTTAAGACACTGAAATTTTTCCAAACAAAACAAAAGAAAGAATTACAAGAAAAAAGAAAGTTAGCAAAAAGACGATCTCTGGTAGAAGAGAAAATGGAAGAAGAACCAAAAGATAATCCTACTATTAATATGTGCTCTACGGTAATGGAGCAGATAAAAACCTTCAAGGTATGAAAGTATTTGATGACATTTTAGTGCATCTTTTTAACTTTCTGTTCACTATTATGTCAAAGATGAAGTATGCATCTTCTGGTCTTACTTTTTTTGTTTATAATGGTAGTCTACTTGTGTGTAAAATGGGTTTGGTGAGTAACTAACCAGTCTCATCATCAGTACACATCTCACCCAGGATAAACCAATCCTAATATATCATCTCTCTGGCTATAGTGACTGGTTCAGGGATAAGCATGTCAGTCAAATGGGACCAATCAAAGATTTCCTTGGAACTTTTGAACTGCATCTGGGAAAGAAAGACCTCTCTATTCATGAGCTATAAGGATGTGAGTTAAGAGCTCTCTATGTTAAAAGCCATGGTGTAATTGACTTGAGAGAAGGACATTGATACTTAAAGTTAAGAAATAAGAGGAAACCTGATTGTACACACTCTCCTTGGCCCCATGATCCAGAGGCTAGAGACAGTTACGTCTGCCCTGTTTCACTTTGAACATGCAAGCTAATAGAGAGCTTATTTATTTATTTTTTCACTACTACCTCCCCCAGGGAGCTCTGGTAGCATAGTGTCTAAGGCACTTGAAAGCTAACCAGAAGGCTGGCAGTTCAAGCCCACCAGCCACTCCTCGGAAGGAAAGTTGGGCATTCTACTTCCATAGTGATACTGCCTTGGAAACCTAAGGAGGGGTCACTATGAGTCGGGTCCGACTCGACAGCACATAACTGCAACAACAACAACAACAACGACAACTTCCCCCTCCCCCCATTTTTTTCCTTTCACCAATTTTGAATTGGGTCTCTATCACTTGTAATCAGAGAAATGCAGCCTAATAAAGACACTGAGGGAAAATAATCAGGAAAAAATAAGATTTTAAAATTCTTTTCTGTCCTTCAGCCTCTTAGTCAAGTTCTGACTCACTCCCATTCTTCTGGTTCCGAATTGTGAAAGAGCTAGGGAGGAAATGGTAAGAGCAAAGAGGGGACTTTCTCCCTTTCATCTTATGGATCACATCTTTTTGCTTCTTTGGTCTTTCATTGTCTGATTCTTAGATCTTTAAACCCCTAATTATGAAGCACCACTGTCAAGGATGTGTGGGAAAGACAGATTGGGTGGTGGGCCACAATCGTACTTGGGGCAGGTCGGAGAGAATACACATATAGTCACATCTGGCTACACTGGGGCAAAGGGTTCCTCAGGCCCAAAGAAGGTAATAGAAGATTGTCCAGACCTATAATGGCTTATTGCACACTTCACTGAAAATAACACTAAATAACAATATTGTTGTTGTTGTTATTATGTGCCATCGAGTCTGACCTGACTCATAGTGACCCCTCCTTGGGCTTCCGATGTGGTACCGCTACAGAAGTAGATTGCCCAACCTTTCTTCCTTGGAGTGGGTGGGGGATTTGAACTGCCAATCTTCTGGTTAGCAGTCAAGTGCCTTAGGCACTACACTACCAGAGCTCCTAAATAACCACATAGAAAATATACAAAGATGATAGCATTTTTTTTATGATTTACTATATTAAAACTAAGTGATCATAATGAAATATCTTACCATTAATAAGCATAATTCAAACTTGGTAATGAGCTCATAACTATTTTTCCAGGATGAATATGTATTTTAAATATATTTTTTGTATCTATAAAACACTTAGATGGAGGAGGATTTTGAGTCCATAGAAGTTGTTAATCATAGGCTCTGAATCTTAAGAATTAGCCAAAGAAGACCTGGTAGAACTATTTACATCATCAGGTAATAATGAAGAGAAGTGGAAAGATTTGGAAACAAAATCAAAACTGAATCCAGAAAACTTGATATATTACTTAACTCATGCCTCATTCTTTCCTGATGAAGTCATGGAAATCAATCCCTTTACACAATAATGTTGTTGTTGTGTCCCATCGAGTTGATTCTGACTCTTAGTGGCCCTATGTTACAGAGCAGATTCAGGTCTTTTCCTGCTGCGCAGCTGGTGAGTTTAAACTGTTGATCTTTGTTTCTTTCTTTTTTTTGTGATTTGGGTGAAAGTTTACAGAGCAAATTCACTTTCTATAAAGCAGTTCACATACACGTTGTCTCATGACACTGACTACAATTTATCCCAATGCAACAGCTCCCCTCCCACTTCCTCCCAGTAGTTACTGCTTCCCTGTGTCCTTCCCTCCATGTGCTCCTGCCCCCTAAACTGTCTCCCTGTGCATAAGAAGCCCTTCTTTCTCCCATGATTGTTCTCTCCAAGAAGTGTAGCTACCTCAGGTA